GTAGTGGAGGTGGTTGCGTCCGAGGTAGGGATAGGCGCTGTCCTATCTCAACGTTTGGGCACGCCACCCAAGCTCCGCCCCTGTGCCTTCTTCTCCAAGAAACCTTGCACGGCGGAGCAGAACTACGACGTTGGTGATCGGGAGCTGTTGGCTGTTGTCCGAGCCCTGACCGTGTGGAAGCACTGGCTTGAGAGGGCGAAACACCCTTTCCTCATATGGACGGACCACCGTAACCTGGAGTACATCCGGGCAGCAAGGAGGCTGAACCCTCTCCAGGCCAGGTGGGCCCTATTCTTCACCCGGATTGATTTTATTCTGTCTTACATCACAGGTTCGAAGAACGTGAAGGCAGACGCAGTGTCACGGCTGTATGACACAGAGGAGAGGCCCATAGACAACACCCCCATACTCCCGGCCTCCTGCATTGTGGTGTCGGTAGTGTGGGCGATGGACGCGGACATAGATCGGGATTTACGCACAGAGCCATCTCCACCTCAGTGTCCAGCTGGGCTGCAGTACGTGTCTTCTCTTGTCCGTGACCGTCTGATCTATTGGGCACACACGCCCCCCTCCTCTGGTCACCCAGGTATTGGTCGTACAGTGCGCTGCCTGACCGGAAAGTACTGGTGGCCTACCTTGGATAAGACGTGAGGGTGTATGTCTCCTCCTGCTCAGTGTGCACCCAGATTAAGGCACCTCCCAGCGGGTAGGTTACAGCCCTTACCAGTTCCACAACGGCCATGGTCCCATTTCTGTATTGACTTCCTTACTGATTTTCCCCTCTCTCAAGGTAACACCACCATCCTAGTCGTTGTGGACCGCTTTTCAAAAGCCTGCCGCTTCCTTCCTCTGCCCGGTCTCCGCACGGCCCTGCAGACTGCGGAAGCCCTGTTTACACACGTCTTCCGGCACTACGGGGTGCCAAAGGACATAGTGTCTGACCGGGGTCCCCAGTTCACATCCAGGGTCTGGAAGGTGTTCATGGAACATCTGGTGGTCTCAGTCAGCATGACCTCTGGTTTTCACCCCGAGTCTAATGGGCAGGTGGAACGGGTGAATCAGGATGTGGGTAGGTTCCTGTGGTCCTACTGCTAGGACCGGCCAGGGGAGTGGTCGTGTTCTTGTCATGGGCCGAATATGCCCAGAACTCTCTCCGCCACTCCTCCACTAACCTAACGTCATTTCAATGTGTTTTAGGTTATCAGCCTGTTCTGGCACCGTGGCATCAGAGCCAGACCAAGGCTCCTGCGGTGGATGACTGGTTTTGGCGCGCGGAGGAGACGTGGAACGCTGCTCACGTCCACCTCCAATGCGCCATGCGTCGCCAGAAGGCCAATGCTGTCCGCCATCGCAGTGAGGCCCCGGTCTTTGTACCGGGTGATCGGGTCTGGCTCTCGACCCGGAATCTGCCTCTCTGCCTGCCCTGCCGGAAGCTGAGCCTGCGGTTTGTGGGGCTGTTCAAAGTCCTGAGGAGAATAAACGAGGTTACTTACAGGTTACTACTCCCTCCTGATTACCGCATTAACCCCTCGTTCCATGTGTCTCTCCTCAGGCCAGTGGTGGCTGGTCCGCTCCAGGAGTCTAAGGTGCAGGAGGTCCCTCTACTCCCCCGGCGTACTCCGTCCGTTCCATCCTGGATTTGAGGCGTTGGGTGGGGGGCCTTCAGTACCTCATTGAGTGGGAGGGGTATGGTCCGGAGGAGCGGTGCTGGGTCCTCACTGTTGCAGGATTTCCACTATCACCATCCGGCTCCGGTGTCGGTGTGCTGCTGGAGCTGCGCGTCAAGGGGGGGGGGGGGGGGGGGGGGGGGGGGGGGGGGTGGTACTGTCACAATTTCCTCTGAAGCTGCCACCTCTCCTTGTTCGGGCAGGCTTCGGAGTTCGTCGTCACCGGCCTTCTAGCCACTGCCGCTCCGCATCTCATCATTCAGTACCTGTATAAGTGTTCCCTCTGCCCCCTTGTCTTTGTGTGTGACTGTTTATTGTGGAGGATGGTAAAGCTCGGTGGAGCTCCGTGTATTTTGTATCGCCGGGATATTTCCCTGTGTGCCGTTTATTTTCCAGTGCGCCTGTTTTGCGCACTAGAGTGTTTTGACGCATTTCTGCGTAACTCTGTAATTGCAGAATAAAGCCTGTTATTCTGTGATTTACCCTCCTGCGCCTGACTCCTTCGACATCACCTCATCACAATGGAATATGGGGCAAAATGCACTAAATTAGTTTTAAATCTTCAACATAGAAATGCTACCAAAAATAATATACAGAAACCTGTTACAAATAACAGAGTCATCCATGAATAAAAGAGGAAACAAAATGCCTTAAGCATATTTTTTTAATTTCAGTCTCCTCCATCTCCACTAACTGAAGTTAATTGTAAGGATTTTTCTGTTAATAGTGTAAAATGAATAGCTGTACAGAAAGACTCATGGGAAGGCCAAATTACAGAGGAGGAACTTCTAGATGCAATTAAAGCCTTCAAGTCTGGGAAAACTCCAGGGCTGTATGGCATACCAGTTGAGGAATATCAAATATTTTCTATGTACTCAAAGGTCCGTTATTAACATGTTTTAACCACTCCTATAAATATGGTAGACGATCAGATACTCAGCAAGAATGTCTGATTTCACTATTACTGAAACAGGACCCAGGTGGTAAATATAAAGATCCAGTCCACCTGAAAAACTAGAGAAATTATCTCACTACAATACATTTTAATAGAAAGTTAACCAAATGAGATAAGATCTTGCTACCATGGAAAGGACAACACCTGTCTATTTGTGGAAAAATCACCTTGATTCATTCTTTAGCCATATCCCAGTTTAACTATTTACTTATGGCTCTGGCTACACTAAACAACTTGTTTTTTAAATGATATGAGCAAAAAATATTCCACTTTGTTTGTAACGGCAAGCCAGACAAAATTAAACACACCTATTTATATAATTGTCACGGATTCTGCCGAGGCTGCTCCTTCTCCTTGCTCGGGCAGGCTTCGGCGTTCGTCGTCCCCGGAGTACTAGCTACTGCCGTTCGATGTTATCGGTGTTTGTTTAGTTTTGTCTGTATTGTTTACACCTGTTCGTCATTATGTTAATTGTTTCCCTTATAATTACCCCTGTCTCTCATCTGTACTTTGTGTGTGATTGTTTTCCCCTTCACGGTCGTCTATTTTGTGAGCGGGTTAGTTCCTCCCTGCGTGGAGTTATTTCTGTGTCCTTTTGGATCCTTTTCGTATTAAAAGTACGTATCCGAGAGTTCTGTGTCCTGCGCCTGACTTCGTTTACCGCATCTCACAGACAGTCATGACAGAATCACACACCATACCATGGAGTCAGCAGGAGCGACGGCACCGACTGGATCACTCGAGGAGCGCGTCCTACAACAGGCAGCGATGCTCCAAAATCTTGGTGCCGCCATGGATAACGTCATGAACACTTTGGGACGATGGGAGAGAGGAGGTTTGCCCACACCTCCTCCAACGATACCACCACCATCGGCTACTCCTATCGTCTCACATCCGGAGTCCAGTGGGATTCGGCTCTCGCTCCCGAGGGCTTATGATGGCACCGCAGCCGGGTGTCAGGGTTTCCTGCTCCAGGTGGAACTTTACCTGGCAAGCATTCACCCGGCACCCTCGGGATACGAGAGCGTGTCCGCCCTCATCTCCTGTCTGTCCGGCAAGGCACTGGAGTGGGCCAACGCCGAGTGGGGAGGGATAGACGCCGCTACTGTGAACTATGCGGAGTTCACCCGCCGCTTCAGGGCAGTGTTCGATCATCCCCCGGAGGGGAAGGTGGCGGGTGAGCGTCTATTCCACCTCAGACAGGGGAGGAGGAGCGCGCAGGAATTCGCACTGGACTTCCGGACTCTGGGGACTGTGAAAAGACCCCTGGCATGTCTGGTGGGGTAAGTGAGTGTGTCAGTGCTGTGTGTAAGTTGACTATGCAAACAATTTGGAATTTCCAACACATAAATGTGCAGTCAGTCTTTCCTCAACTTTTAGCCAAGAGAGACTGGCATGCATAATATTAATATTAGCCTTCTGATTACAATGAAGAGCAAGACGTGCCACTCTGCTCTGGGCTAGCTGCGGCTTAACTAGTTATTTCTTTGCAGCACTTGACCATATGACTGGACAATAATCAAGATACGATAAAACTAGAGCCTGCAGGACTTGCTTTGTGGAGTGTGGTGTCAAAAAAGCTGTCCTGGTGGCTCGTCTCAGACCATCCTGCAGGTGAAGAAGCCGGATGTGGAGGTCCTGGGCTAGCATGGTTACATGTGGTCTGCGGTTGTGAGGCCGGTTGGACGTACTGCCAAATTCTCTAAAATGATGTTGGAGGCTTCCTATGGTAGAGAAATGAACATTACATTATCTGGTGGACATTCCTGCAGTCAGCATGCCAATTGCACGCTCCCTCAAAACTTGAGACATCTGTGGCATTGTGTTGTGTGAAAAAACTGCACATTTTAGAGTGGCTTTTTATTGTCCCCAGCACAACGCACACCTGTGTAATTATCATGCTGTTTAATCAGCTTCTTGATATGCCATCCCTGTCAGGTGGATGGATTACCTTGGCAAATGAGAAATGTTCACTAACAGGGATGTAAACAAATTTGTGCACAAAATTTTGAGAGAAATAAGCTTTCTGGGATATTTTATTTCAGCTCATGAAACATGGGACCAACACGTTACATGTTGCATTTATATTTTTGTTCAGTATAATTGAAAAGCCCAGAATGTCATCTCAAAGGGACAACAGGACTTAATACAGTGGCTTGTATGTCTTCAGAGATATGGACCAAAAACTGATGTCCACTAGATAGGACAACAATTTATTGCTGGGTCTCCTGGGGATATGTCTTAGATTTTTCACCCTGGTTCAAAGTTTTCCATTGAAGCCACCATTAGGCTATTTCTGTGGTAGCGCAAAACACACGTCTGTCTGCCTACTTCCGCTAACAGCACGTGACATGTGTTTACATCCTCTCAGCTGTGTTCTTTCGGCGTAAAGAAACGACTGGTAGGCTAGTCACCACTTCACAAACTAGCTGCACCCGCGCTACAGCTCGTTTAACTTACTGACCTTATATTTTCCTTTGAAGTGCATCCACCCTTGGGACTGAGTTGATTGATTCGTTTGACTCGGCGCTGTGAGTATTTTCCAATCTAAAGTGCAATGTCGACATTTTGTATGTTGTTAGAAAGTGGCTACTCGCTAGTGGTAGCTGACGAGCTATAGCTCGGTAGCTACCATTGCTTTGTCTGAGTTGGTGACGCACAGACTTTGTTTGGGCCCGCATAATTAGCAATGTGCTAAACCTAATTTCAAGAGACTGTTGACATCTTTTTATGACAATGCCTAGCTGTCAACTCGACTTAACCAACCCTTTCATCATGAATCGCAATGTATTTTTGCCCATTCTTTCGTTAATACTTAGCTAGCTATTTTAGTTAACTAGTTGATCATGGCCATCATTCGACTGTTAAATGCAGCCATCGAGCGAGCAAGCTAGCTAGCTACAGCTGGCAACGTTCAAGATGTTGTGACATGCTATTTGGTACACATTATCTAACGTTAACCTGCAATGCTGATGGATGTTAGCTATCGCTCTAACGTTGTGTGAAATGTGTTTTGTCACACCTTGCTTACATAACAACACTAGCTAGTAGTAGTAACTTAGTACTAACCTGAAATGTTAGTTGTGGCTAGTTAACTAAAATGTGTTGTCTGTCTTTCATGCATGATTAAAATAACGCACCACAAAAACACGTTTAACCCAACGTTAAGTAATGCGTCGTTAGCAGATGCAACTTAGTTAAGTCAGCGAGCTACATTATGAAGCTAAATTCAATGTTATCAACTTGATAGTTATGAAACAGAAAAGTATATCCAGCCCATTTCCTGTTTTTGTTTTCCATCACACACCGTGCAGATATAACTAACATGGTACACTCGTAAGATGATTGGCTAGAAAACGTCCATCCTGTGTCTGTACTAGAAAACGGCTGATTGCTTTCAAATAGTTCTGGCAGTCGTGGATGAGAACTAGACAATGAATGCATTGTATTATCAGACTACAGTAGCTGCCTACAGAAGCTACATTGTAATGTGTAGGCTACATTGTAATGTATCAGACAACAACTCACTGAGTTTTTTTTCTCTCCCAGATGTAGCTAGGCATATTCGTTTTAGCAAAATATATAGCTAGTTTGGAGAGCTAAGTGAACAAACTAAACATTAGGCTACAGGACATCCTACTGTCAAGTGTTCTTTGACAAATCACTGTAGTGCCAAGGGAAATAAAAGTAGATTTTAATTTCTACTGACCCTGAATGACCCCTGAATGAACTGTGAATCATCATTTATTTACTAAATTATTTACCCCCATACGCACATTCAGTAACACAGTAAAACCTAGTGGCCTAGCCTACATCATGGCCCCTGTCCAGATAGAGCATGGCAGTGTATATAGATAGTTTCACTGAGCATGTTATTGGGTTGTCCCAGGATCGGTTACATGTTTCATCACCCTGCCTGTCAAAGTTGGACACCAGCCAGTCTCCCTCGTTCTTAGAATGGTGCATGACATGTCACTGCATGCTCTCTCTAGGGGTGTTTCTTGGATTTGAAGACATTCTGGGCTTAGCACAAAGCCAATAGGGGTGTCTGGGGGCATTCTCCCCCAGCAAAAAATTAATTTCAACAGCTAAATTCATGAATATGGGTCCCTTTGAGATGAACATTGAGAGATGAGATCTTCCCACCTGCCAAAGCAGACACTGCCATTACTCAATTACAGTAGCTACTGTGAGACTCTGGAAAACATACAGTGCATTCGGAAAGTATTCAGACCCCTTGACTTTTTCCACATTTTGTTACGTTACAGCCTTATTCTAAAATTGATGAAATATATTTTTTCTCATCAATCTACACACAATACCCCATAATGACAAAGCCAAAACAGGTTTTTAGAACAGTGCATGTCAGAGCAAAAACCAAGCCATGAGGTCAAAGGAATTGTCAGAGACAGGATTGTGTTAAGGCAAAATTGAAGGTCCCCAAGAACACAGTGGCCTCCATCAATCTTAAATGGGAGAAGTTTGGAACCACCAAGACTCCAAACTGAGCAATTGGGGGAGAAGGGCCTTGATCAGCGAGGTAATCAAGAACCCGATGGTCACTCTGACAGAGCTCCAGAGTTCCTCTGTGGAGATGGGAGAACCTTCCAGAAGGACAACTATCTCTGCAGCACTCCACCAATCAGGCCTTTATGGTAGAGTGGCCAGGCGGAAGCCACTCCTCAGTAAAATGCACATGACAGTTTGCCAACAGGCACCTAAATTACTTTCAGACCATGAGAAACAAGATTCTCTGGTCTGATGAAACCAAGATTGAACTCTTTGGCCAGAATGCCAAGCATCGCGTCTGGAGGAAACCTGGCACCATCCTTACGGTGAGACATGGTAGTGGCAGCATCATGTTGTCGGGATGTTTTTCAGTGGCAGGGACTGGGAGACTAGTCAGGATCGAGGGAAAGATGAACAGAGCAAAGTACAGAGAGATCCTTGATGAAAACCTGCTCCAGAGCGCTCAGGACCTCAGACTGTGGCGAAGGATCACCTTCCAACAGGACAACGACCCTAAGCACACAGCCAAGACAACGCAGGAGTGGCTTCGGGACAAGTCTCTGAACGTCCTTGAGTGGTCCAGCCAGAGCCCGGACTTGAACCCGATCGAACATCTCTGGAGAGACCTGAAAATAGCTGTGCAGCGATGCTCCCCATCCAACCTGACAGAGATTGAGAGGATCTTCAGAGAAGAATGGGAGAAACTCCCCAAATACAGGTGTGCCAAGCGTGTAGCGTCATACCCAAGAAGACTCAAGGCTGGAATCGCTGCCAAAGGTGCTTCAACAAAGTACTGAGTAAAGTGTCTGAATACTTATGTAAATGTAATATTTCAGTGTTTAAAAAAATACATATATTTGCAAACATTTTTAAACCTGTTTTTGCTTTGTCATTATGGGGTATTGTGTGTAGATTGATGAGGGGGGGGAAAAACAATTTAATCAATTTTAGAATAAGGCTGTAACGTAACAAAGTGGAAAAAGTCAAGGGGTATGAATACTTTCTGAATGCACTGTACACCTGTCAAATGAGCCTCTCACTCACACACACACTGTGCAGTAATTAGAATCCATAGAGCAGCTTTAAGTGACAGTCTACTGTGTGCTCACCCCTCCTCTGCGCCTGTCTTATCGCATTCTCTGTGTCTGTTGCTGTCTCTCTTGTCTGCCCTCTCTTGTCCTGTCCTGGTTGTAAAAAAGTAAACAATTGTTTTAATAGTAATTTCAAAGGCCTTTTCACCTCGCCTGCAAATTCTTTCTAAACCATGTTTTACTTTTTCACTGTCTGTATTTCACCTCTTATAATTTGTGCAAATAAATAAGACCAATTAGGATCTATAGAGCAGCTTGAAGTGATAGTCTACATTTACATTTTAGTCATTTAGCAGACGCTCTTATCCAGAGCGACTTACAATTAGTGAGTGCATACATTTTCATACTGGTCCCCCGTGGGAATCGAACCCACAACCCTGGCGTTGCAAGCGCCATGCTCTACCAACTGAGCTACTGTGTGCTAGGGCTGGGCAGTATACCGTATTTTACTGTATACCGTTATTGATGCACAGACTGGTTTCAGTGTTTACTTTACCTTCTATAAAGGTATTTTAATGTTTGGTTTGTTAAATAAATACGCAATGCAACTCTGGCCACTTATAATGTCAGTTTTTATAGTTCACTCCGTTTGCTACTTGAGTCATCTCTCTCCCTTTCCTCCTGCTGCTGCATGCAGCTAACCACACCAAGCCCTGCCCCCTGTCACTCAAGGAGAGAGCAGTTGCTCAACCACAGAGTAATGAGCACATTTTTGCTGTTAACCCTGCATGGTCAGATGGATGCAACAATGTTGGTGAAATGCTGCTTTCCACAAGCGTTCTATACACTTAGTAGTTTGCAGACTGTAAGATACACAAACTATCTGCTAGTTTATCTTTTCTTAGCAAGGAATTGCTAAAATAATTTGTGTTAGCCGCTAATCGCTAGTTGGCTAGCTTGCTAAATGTACTAAGTGTCAGAGCAAACGTAGCTAGCTAGCTAATACTGCCTGGTACCAGTGCTAGTGTAGGCCTAGATAAGCATGTTAGTGCAACGGTATCTTATCAGAGAGGAATAGGCGAAGTATGAATATGTTGGCTGGCTAGCTACATGAAGTAAGAAATGGTTCCTACCCTATCAATGATTCCTCCCTGGTTTATTCCTTGGTTGTCATGCCAAACAACAATGTATTCAAGGTGCTGCTCACTATATTCCAGCTATAGAATTAGAATAAGCATTATATTTCCATGATTCCAACAGTTCACCAATTAACTAAGGCTATATGTTTTTGCCCATATCATGCTGCGTGGCACAGTGTTAAAGTTATATAAAAAAGTGCGGAAATTGATGAAAATGCTGATTTTATTTTGTTGTTGTTTTAGAGTTGGATTTAACAGTATAAATGGAGAAAGCCCCTATTGAAATCGCTTATAATTTGTGTTGCCACCCTAGGGTCATGAACTACTCATAAGATCATATTTAGAACTTTTATTATCCAAAAACACAAAATATCGTCAAACGTCAAATATTGTGATATTATATTTTGTCTATAAATCGCCCAGCCCGACTGTGTGCTCAAACTGTAAAAAAGTGTCCGCATAACAGCGCAACACAACTCCAAACATGACAGATAAGAAGCTACGTAGCCCCTAGGCCTCTCAAACTCAACTCTGGGCCTCAAATCCAGTTCCACTGCATATTTTCATTGTTCTCCTCTAATCATAGACTGATTTAGAGCTGAGACCCCAGGTGTGTTTAATTAATGATCCGGTAGAACAGATAATCAGCAGGCTCTCGACCTCCGTAGGGTAAAAGTTGAATACCCCTGCCCTAGGCAATATTAATATAAAGAGACATGAGCACAACAATTTTTACCTGTAGAATTGAATAAGTTATAAAACCTCTATGATTCATTTAGTCAGTTTTACTAGCTAATGTGAGATTTTTTAGATTACATAACATTTGAGGACACACAATTTAAAGCGGCAATCAGCAGTTGAAACAGTAACAAAGCGTATTCCCTGACCCTGTTTTGGTAAAAAGCTGAGGGATGGGTCTGGAGAAATGTAGCTTCTCTCAAATTCATAGAAGGCTATGGATGCAAGGACTGACCAACCATGATATCAACATTTTATAGTTTTAACCATGTTTTTAAATGCTATATAGTGTTTGTTTACATTTACTTTGTTTACAAACATTCTAGTAAAACAAGCTTATATTTTGGGTTCTGATGGGGTGCAACAGTTGAACTTAAGCTCATGAGCCATTGTTATATTATTCTAGAATCAATGGGTACATATCATTCATTAATAAGTCCAAAAATGTATGTAGTATCTGCTGATTGCCCCTTTAAGGGCCTATGTATTTTCTATGTTTTGTTCACCTACAATCTAACCACAAAGCTGGCAATCTTTTCCCCTCTTTCTGTTCATTTGTCATATACACATGATATACATGGATTATATAGTGCAATGAAATGCTTACTTGCAGGTTAACCTCTCGACAATGCAAAAACAATAGAAAAATTAGCTAAGTGAATAAAGAGTAATAAAAATAAAAGCAAAATTAAGGCAGTTTTTTAAATGTATTTTTCATACAAATAGTTACATAGCCTATATGGAAATATCAGACATGAGCCAAGCATGTTTACCTGTAGAATGGAATATGTTATGATTCATTTAATTTTGTCAGTTCTACCACCTCAACATAGCTAATTTTAAACAGGGTTAAATATAATTTAGTGTATATAGTAAAGTTCAGCTTCAGTCCACAGTTCAGCTATGTCACTGTCAGAAGATACACTACATGACCAAAAGTATGTAGACACCTCGTTGAACGTCTCATTCCAAAATCATGGGCATTAATATGGAGTTGGTCCCCCATTTGCTGCTATAACAGCCTGCACTCTTCTGGGAAGGCTTTCCACTAGATGTTGGAACGTTGCTAGGAGGACTTGCTTCCATTCAGCCACAAGCATTAGTGGGCGATTAGGCCTGGCTAGCAGTTGCCGTTCCAATTCATCCCAAAGGTGTTCGATGGGATTGAGGTCAGGGCTCTGTGTAGGCCAGTCAAGTTCTTCCACACCGATCTCACCAAGCCATTTCTGTATGGACCTCGCTTTGTGCACAGGGGCATTGTCATGCGGAAACAGGAAAGGGCCTTCCCCAAACTGTTGCCACAAAGTTGGAAGAACAGAATCGTCTAGAATGTCATTGTATGCTGTAGCGTTAAGATTTCCCTTCACTGGAACTAAGGGGCCTAGCCCGAACCATGAAAAACAGCCCCAGACCATTATTCCTCCTCCACCAAACTTTATAGTTGCCACTATGCAATGGGGTAGGTAGCGTTCTCCTGGCATCCGCCAAACCCAGATTTGTCAGTCGGACTGCCCGATGGTGAAGCGTCACTCCAGAGAACGCGTTTCCACTGCTCCAGAGTCCAATGGCGGCGAGCTTTACACCACTCCAGCTGACGCTTGGCATTGCACATGGTGATCTTAGGCTTGTGTGCGGCTGCTCGGCCATGAAACCCATTTCATGAAGCTCCAGATGAACAACTCTTGTGCTGACGTTGCTTCCAGAGGCAGTTTGGAACTCTGTATTGAGTATTGGAACCGAGAACAGACGATTTTTACGCGCTACGCACTTCAGCACTCGGCGGTCCCATTCTGTGAGCTTGTGTGGCCTACCACTTCGTGGCTGAGCTGTTGTTGCTCCTAGATGTATCCACTTCACAATAACAGCACTTACAGTTGACCGGGGCAACTCTAGCAGGGCAGAAATGTGACAAACAGACTTGTTGGAAAGGTGGCATCCTATGACGGTCCCACGTTGAAAGTCACTGAGCTCTACAGTAAGGCCATTCTACTGCCAATGTTTGTCTATGGAGATTTGCATGGCTGTGTGCTCGATTTTATGTCTTAAAGTAATGATGGACTGTCGTTTCTCTTTGCTTATTTGAGCTGTTCTTGCCATAGTATGGACTTGGCCTTTTACCAAATAGGGCTATCTTCTGTATACACCCACTACCTTCTCACAACACAACTGATTGGCTCAAACGCATTAAGAAGGAAAGAAATTCCACAAATTAACTTTTAACAAGGCACACCTGTTAATTGAAATGCATTCCAGGTGACTACCTCATGAAGCTGGTTGAGAGAATGCCAAGAGTGTGCAAAGCTGTCATCAAGGCAAAAGGGTGGCTATTTGAAGAATCTCAAATATAAAATATATTTTGATTTGTTTAACACTTTTCTTTGGTTACTACATGATTCCATATGTGTTATTTCATAGTTTTGATGTCTTCACTGTTATTCTACAATGTAAAAAATAAAGAAAAACCCTTGAATGAGTAGGTGTGTCCACAACTTTGTGCCCTGCTGAATGCGGCCCTGGACATAGGTGTGCAATGCATGGGCAAATGTAATTACTCTCTGTGTGTATATTAAAACAAAAAATATGATTATATTATTTTAAAAATATATTTATTTATTATTTTTTTACATAGTGCCGCATCCAGTCCACAAGGTGGCGCAGCGCCACTCTTACTCTTTGTGGAGCAACCTGCATGGCTATGCATTTCAGGGACTTAAAGCTACTCCTTTAACACTGTACAGTACTATCACACATTGGTGAGAATTCATCTATTATTTATTTTGCCAGTGTGTTAAAGAACAGCCAATGGAAAAGTACCTCTACACAAGGCCTAGCCTACTAGCTTCTACTACAATGTCACCTCTGAATGTAATCTTTATTAGCTGACTCAGATATGTCAGGTGGAGATGCTGAGAAAGCAGATGGAGAATTCAAGACATTTCTTCTTCCTCTGCTGCAGCTCTCATAAATGGGCATTATGATTTTCTCACAGATCATACTCATTCGAGTCATGCAAGGTTTTTAGCTTTTTAATAACTTTAATTATTAGTTGCTACCTGTCCTGCAGTTATTTCCACGCTTCATCATAAAAAACTATACTTCAGTTTTACGGTTTTATTAATGACTATCTCATTGTAGTTAACATGCATGAACTCATAAGGATTTTGTTTAAATATAGTCTTTACCATTAGATTAATGTGCTTACGCAGTAGTTTCACTAGATATCAAGGACTGAGCACCAAAGGGGCGTAACTGATAATTTCTGAATTGTAGTAAAAAGTTAGTTCGAAAAACGTATTTAAGTGTCACCCCACAGTGATACAATAATTGACAATACAAAATACAGATAAAAAAACACGGGACCACTCAAATAGTTTTGAGACACAAATAAAATCAGTCAAACATGGTACAGTATTTCCTTTGGCATCATCTATAATACATACATTACGGCATCTATACACATGTATGCATAAACCGTACAGTAGATAAAAGGACATTGGAGGATAAGGTGGCAGGCTTTGGCGCAGCCATTTACATTATTGTTACCTGATAAAATTTCACACAATTTATTATTTTCATCTAGACTGTTAAAATTATCATTTTGGCTGGACAGCTGACGGAAAAATATCATCCCTAATGTCATTGTAAAACCCACAGTAAAGCAAGGCATGAGCTTCTGTTAAAATGGATACATCGTAACAAAAAGTACAGACACATTTATCTAGAGGAATGTTTGTGTATTGACCAGTCTCAATAGCGAGAGGGCTTTGATTTTGCAAAACAGCTTTGATTTTGCTTGGATAAAACTGTATGTACATATGGTTATGTCCCAAAAGTGCATTTAAAACGGAAGTAAGTGCGCAGCTTGTTTCTTTTGGTTATTGATCAGTTGAATAGGATGCCTATACATTTATCTCCATAGTTGCTTGCTTTGCACTATCTGTAACTACATGGGTAATTACTTCTGGGTGTCTCCACAGATTGACATCCCCTGCTATACTTATAATCTTACATCCCTCGACATTGTCTCCCTCTCTCTCAATTCCCTAGAGTTAGCCTGTCTTGGTAGGACCATGGTGTGAAGTGGCCCCAAGGAAAGAAGAACACCACAACCACTCAACCCCTCAGGTGTCCTCTTCATCTTTCCATGCCACATTAAGAAGACAACACAGCGCTCCACTTGTGGAAAGAAGAGTTTTGCACCCTCTTTGTTCTACTGTTTCTTTCTCGCCATGGGGGGTGCGGTGAGTGCCGGCGAGGACAACGATGATCTGATTGACAACCTGAAGGAGGCGCAGTACATCCGTACGGACCACGTGGAGCAGGCCTTCAGGGCCATTGACCGCGGAGACTACTACCTGGTTGGCTACAGGTACTACATTACCCATAATGCTCTGTACAGCATATCCAGTTTTATCTTGGGGGCGAATCCTAACTTGCATTGTTGTACATTGAAGACTAAGTGGAAGTTACAATTTGCCCCTTAGTAAAGATGTTCCTGAAGCTAACACTTTATCGATACTGCAGGGACAATGCCTACAAGGACCTGGCGTGGAAGCATGGCAACATCCACCTGTCTGCCCCCTGTATCTACTCTGAGGTGATGGAGGCGCTAAAACTGCAGCAGGGACTGTCCTTCCTCAACCTGGGCAGTGGGACTGGGTACCTCAGCACCATGGTGGGACTCATCATAGGTAATGATGCCCCTGTTTTTTCAATTAAATAATTTCACTCTCTAAAATCTGTTGAGATATTCAGTGGAAACTTGATTGATTATTATATAGTGATGATATACATTGATGCTCTAGCCCTAATGAGTTAACCTATGCTTGAATAACACACATGAACAGCATATGAAGTCAAACACATACCCACATCTTCTTTCATAAGTGATGTGTAATCACTGCAAATTACATTTGGTCCTAAACGATATTATAACCACGATCGATAATAGACAGTACTGTGCAGCCGTCTTCATCGACCTGGCCAAGGCTTTCGACTCTGTCAACCACCGCAGTCTTATTGGCAGACTAAATAGCCTTGGTTTCTCAAATGACTGCCTCGCCTGGTTCACCGACTACTTCTCAGATAGAGTTCAATGTGTCAAATCGGAGGGCCTGTTGTCTGGACCTATGGCAGTCTCTATGGGGGTGCCACAGGGTTCAACTCTTGGGCCGGCTCTTTTCTCTGTGTATATCAATGATGTCGCTCTTGCTGCTGGTGACTCTCAGATCCACCTCTACGCAGACGACACCATTTTGTATACATCTGGCCCTTCATTGGACACTGTGTTAACAAACCTCCAAACGAGCTTCAATGCCATACAACACTTCTAACGTAGCCTCCAACTGCTCTTAAACACTAGTAAAACTAAATGCATGCTCTTCAATCGAACGCTGCTGGCACCCGCCCACCCGACTAGAATCACTACTCTCGACGGGTCTGACCTAGAGTATGTGGAAAACTACAAATAACTAGGTGTCTGGTTAGACTGTAAACTCTCCTTCCAGACTCACATTAAGCATCTCCAATCCAAAGTTAAATCTAGAATCGGCTTCCTATTTCGCAACAAAGCCTCCTTCACTCATGCTGCCAAACATGCCCTCGTAAAACTGACTATCCTACCGATCCTTGACTTCGGCGATGTCATTTATAAAATAGCCTCCAACACTCTACTCAGCAAATTGGATGTAGTCTATCACAGTGCCATCCGTTTTGTCACCAAAGCCCCATATACAGTGAGGGAAAAAAGTATTTGATCCCCTGCTGATTTTGTACGTTTGCCCACTGACAAAGACATTAAATAAGTATTTGACCCCTCTGCAAAACATGGTGGCAAAACCCTTGTTGGTATCACAGAGGTCAGACGTTTCATGTAGTTGGCCACCAGGTTTGCACACATCTCAGGAGGGATTTTGTTCCACTCCTCTTTGCAGATCTTCTCCAAGTCATTAAGGCTTCGAGGCTGACGTTTGGCAACTCGAACCTTCAGCTCCCTCCACAGATTTTCTATGAGATTAAGGTCTGGAGACTGGCTAGGCCACTCCAGGACCTTAATGTGCTTCTTCTTGAGCCACTCCTTTGTTGCCTTGGCCGTGTGTTTTGGGTCATTGTCATGCTGGAATACCCATCCACGAACCATTTTCAATGCCCTGGCTGAGGGAATGAGGTTCTCACCCAAGATTTGACGGTACATGGCCCCGTCCATCGTCCCTTTGATGCGGTGAAGTTGTCCTGTCCCCTTAGCAGAAAAACACCCCTAAAGCATAATGTTTCCACCTCCATGTTTGACAGTGGGGATGGTGTTCTTGGGGTCATAGGCAGCATTCCTCCTCCTCCAAACACGGCGAGTTGAGTTGATGCCAAAGAGCTCGATTTTGGTCTCATCTGACCACCACTTTCACTCAGTTCTCCTCTGAATCATTCAGATGTTAATTGGCAAACTTCAGACGGCCCTGTATATGTGCTTTCTTGAGTAGGGGGACAATGCGGGCGCTGCAGGATTTCAGTCCTTCACGGCGTAGTGTGTTACCAATTGTTTTCTTGGTGACTATGGTCCCAGCTGCCTTGAGATCATTGACAAGATCCTCCCGTGTAGTTCTGGGCTGATTCCTCATCGTTCTCATGATCATTGCAACTCCACGAGGTGAGATCTTGCATGGAGCCCCAGGCCGAGGGAGATTGACAGGTCTTTTGTGTTTCTTCCATTTGCGAATAATCGCACCAACTGTTGTCACCTTCTCACCAAGCTGCTTGCCGATGGTCTTGTAGCCCATTCCAGCCTTGTGTAGGTCTACAATCTTGTCCCTGACATCCTTGGAGAGCTCTTTAGTCTTGGCCATGGTGGAGAGTTAGGAATCTGATTGATTGATTGCTTCTGTGGACAGGTGTCTTTTATACAGGTAACAAGCTGAGATTAGGAGCACTCCCTTTAAGAGTGTGCTCCTAATCTCAGCTCGTTACCTGTATAAAAAAACACCTGGGAGCCAGAAATCTTTCTGATTGAGAGGGGGTCAAATACTTATTTCCCTCATTAAAATGCTAATCAATTTATAACATTTTTGACATGCGTTTTTCTGGATTATTTTGTTGTTATTCTGTCTCTCACTGTTCAAATAAACCTACCATTAAAATTATAGACTGAGCATTTCTTTGTCAGTGGGCAAACGTACAAAATCAGCAGGGGATCTGCTCCTGAGTGGCGCAGTGGTCTAAGGCACTGCATCGCAGTGCTAACTGTGCCACTAGAGATCCTGGTTCGAATCCAGGCTCTGTCGCAGCCGGCCGCAACCGGGAGACTCATGGGCGGCGCACAATTGGCCCAGCGTCGTCCAGGGTAGGGGAGGGAATGGACAGGAAGGGAGGGAATGGCCGGCAGGGATGTAGCTCAGTTGATAGAGCATGGCGTTTGCAACGCCAGGGTTGTGGGTTTGATTCCCACGGGGGGCCAGTATAAAAATAAAAATAAATTGAAAAAAAACAACATGTATTCACTAACTGTAAGTCGCTCTGGATAAGAGCGTCTGCTAAATGACTAAAATGTAAAATGACTGTACTACCCACCACTGTGACCTGTACGCTCTTGTTGGCTGGTCCTCACTACATATTCGTCGCCAAACCCACTGGCTCCAGGCCATCTATAAATCACTGCTAGGCAAATCCCCGCCTTATCTTAGCTCACTGGTTACCATAGCAACACCCACCCGTAGTCTGCGCTCCAGCAGGTATATCTCACTGTCATCCCCAAAGCCAACACCTCCTTTGGCCGCCATTCCTTCCAGTTCTCTGCTGCCAATGACTGGAACGAACTGCAAAAATCTCTGAAGCTGGAGACTCTTATCTCCCTCACTAACTTTAAGCATCAGTTGTCAGAGCACCTTACCGATCACTGCACCTGTACAGAGCCCATCTGAAATTAGCTACCTCATCCCCATATTGTTATTTATTTGTCTCATTTGCACCCCAGTATCTCTATTTGCACATCATCTCTTGCACATCTATCATTCCAGTGTTAATACTAATTGTAACTATTTTGCACTATGGCCTATTTATTGCCTTACCTCCATAACTTACTACATTCGCACACACTGTGTATATATATTTTCTGTTTGTATTTTTGACTTTGTTTTGTTTACCCCATATGTAACTCTGTGTTGTTGTTTTTATCGCACTCCTTTGCTTTATCTTGGCCAGGTCGCAGTTGTAAATGAGAACTTGTTCTCAACTGGCTTACCTGGTTAAATAAAGGTGAAATAAATACAATTGTTTTTTGAAGGTCCATTTGGCGTGAACCATGGAGTTGAGCTCCACAAGGATGTGGTGGAATATGCCAAGGAGAAACTGGATGACTTCATCAAGAATAGTGACAGCTTTGATAAGTGAGTTGGATGCTTAATCAAAATGTTATATAGGGTATATCCTGTAGCTCAGTTGGTAGAGCATGGCGCTTGCAACGCCAGGGTTGTGGGTTCGATTCCCACAGGGGGCCAGTATGAAAAATGTATGCACTCACTAACTGTAAGTCGCTCTGGATAAGAGCGTCTGCTAAATGACTAAAAATGTGTAATGGTGCATGCAGTGAAACTCTAGTTAAATAACTAGCTGCAGTTCCGTTAGTATTTATGTGCCTGCCAATTCACAGACATGGAAATTGCCTTCTTAAGTTTGTGTGTCTTGCAAATGGAATACATTTGAATGTGTTCAAATCTGTTTGTTTATTTTTACATTTCTTCTCAGACTGATTGGCTTACTTTTATTACTTTTTATTTTGTTTTTGTCAGGTTTGAGTTCTGTGAACCCGTCTTCATGGTGGGCAACTGTCTGGAGATCTCGTCAGACAGTCACCAATACGACCGTATCTACTGTGGTGCGGGGGTGCAGAAGGATCATGAAAATTACATGAAAATCCAGCTCAAAGTGGGGGGTATTCTAGTGATGCCTATAGAGGATCAGGTAAGCATTAGAGAATGCCTCTGAATATTGCAGAAAACATAAACATCATCATTCACGATGATGCCGTCCCAATTGGGAATCAGAGGCTGCGTCCAGAATGGCAACCTATTCACTATAGCGCATTACTTTTGACCAGAGCCCAGTTCAAAAGAAGTGCACTATTTGGGACTAGAGTGCCATGTCGGACACAGATAAAGTGAAATAGCCGTGGCCTGCATGACCAATGATGTTATGATACCCAGCCATTGTTATTGTGCATCAGAAGCCCCTGGACGGGGACTTACGCCATCAGTCTGCTCTATTTTTTTCCTCCAAGAAATTGGTAAATAGCAAAAACACTTTTGAAAAAGGATGACATTGTGTGGCACTCAAGCAGGGAAGGAAACAAACAAAAAAAGGTAAGGGTTTGCACAAGCCCACACAGTCCTTCATGCTGTGAAATGGAAAGGAGCTGCTTATGTTGTTTTTCTGAAAACGGTTGAAACTCCTGCGTTGCCAGGTTTGTTTGGTGGTGCAATAAGGAGAGAAAAGGTTTTGATTAGGAGAATTGAGGCCAAAGGGCTGAGGCAGCTTAAGAAGCTCAGGTCCACCACAGTTCCTCTGGATCAACACCTCTACATCAGGCCAAAACCAGCTTTTTGTCATGTAGATATTTGATTTGAAAACACCAATGTCCCTTTCTGGTGTGGAACTAAAGATGCATATAATACATGTGATTTTGGCCATCTGTTGTCATGGTGTATTGATTGTGGTGTTGTTATCCTGGCTGGTATAAGTTCTCCATTGGCTAGTAGGATGGTGGTGTTTATTGTGGTTGGTATGTGTCTAGTGGATTTGGCGTTAACATGGTTGGTATATGTTCTCCGTTGTCTCAATGGACTGGTGCTGTTGTTACCGTGGTGGCTATACAGTAACTATCACTCATTTGTCTCTTGTTGCAGCTGACTCAGATCACCAGGACTGGTCAGTGTTCCTGGGAGAGTAAGAATATCCTGGCCGTGTCATTCGCTCCTCTGGTCCAGCAGAACAGAGCTGAGGGAAGCAAGCCTGATGCGGTAGAACTGCGTGAGTCCTCTACTCTAACCCCTGTTCTCTACTCTAACCCCTGTTCTCTACTCTAACCCCTGTTCTCTACTCTAACCCCTGTTCTCTACTCTAACCCCTGTTCTCTACTCTAACCCCTGTTCTCTACTCTTAACCCCTGTTCTCTACTATTAACCCCCTTTTCTCTACTCTTAACCCCCTGTTCTCTACTATTAACCCCTGGGTCTTATTCACTAGGACCCAAAAGGAAGAAAACTGAAACTGGGAGGGAGGGAGGGAGGAAGTACCTGAATTCATCCCCTAAAAATACTTGTTTTCATTTTCCCTTTGCCACATTTTGCTACGGTGTGCACTAATGAATATGAACTTGTTATTTTCTCTGTAAAAAGCCACATCAGAACAGTTCCCCTTTTATTTTGTTTTTCTATCTGTCTTTTGAAGTGTAAAGTAAGCCACACTTTTTAAGTCAGAGGATTTATTTAAAGTTAGAAGATGAGGCCGTTTCTAACAAATCCTTTGCTTTGACTCAAGGCCTCGCTGCCCTGCAGGGTAGATGCATAATTCTAAATATTTCAAACAGTAATGGATTGTTCCTTTACTTATTTTTCTATAAATGAAGTTGAAGTTTGTATATTGATGTGTATAGTTTATATTAGTTTTTTATATGTATTGTTGTGAATGCAGGGCTCATTTGAGAAAGAGACTTTGGTCTCAGCATGACTCGCTGTCGAAATAAAGGTTAAATAAGTATTGTCCCCAAATGGCCAGACAATATATGGAGCTCTTGCCTGCTGAATATCAATAGAGAATGTTATTGGGCTAATGTGATTTGACCTGCCATCTTTGTCCCTCCTCCTCCTCCTCAGCCCCAGTGACAGTCAGGAGCCTTCAGGACCTGTCTCGCATCTACATCCGCCGCACCCTCCGAGATCTGACCAATGAGGAGAGCCCTGACAACAGCCTGGTGCAGCGGGCGCCCCAGAAACGCAAGCGCAGGCGTTGTCGGCGGCGACGCATTAACACTTACGTTTTTGTGGGCAACCAACTGATCCCCCAAGCCGTGGAGAGCGAGGAGGACGAACGGATCGAGGAGGAGCAGCACAAGGAGGAGCAGGAGGCGCAGGAGAAGGAGGAGGAGAGAGACATTGGCAGAATTGAGATACTAAAGGCAGTAAATGTACTGAGAGACAAAATCCTGACTTTACCTCTGCCTGAATCGCTGAAGGCCTATCTGTTGCACTACCGAGAAAAATGACTGACGGCACAACCTGCTGGCATCCGTTCTAATGGATGCAATGCCTGCTGAGATGTTTTTCCTTACTTTCCTGTCTTCTTTTTTCAGTACAGAAAGATTTAGCATTGTTTTTCATTTCTCTTAAAGGTGAACCTGGAATGGAGACTGAGAGACTTCCTGGTCGTCTTGGATAATGTTCTATAATTACTATGATCTGGTTAAGTTTTTGTTGTCTAATGTTTTGGATTTGTACATCAAAGCTTTATTTAAAAGCCTACTGATTGGAAAATCATTTTCAAAGATTACATTTTGAGGATGTAGATTTTTTCACATGTTAATATTCCAGCAAATTGTCACTAAATGAAATTGTATAAAATAAAATAAATGCTAACTATATTTGTTAAGAATATGATAATGAAAAGATCCATAATTTTACTGCAACCTTTTTCTAGAAGCTTTAAAGAACTTGATATTACTGAATAAAGATTTACAATTGCTGAATGGAAGAATTGGAGACAAAAATGCATGTACACCTAATCTTATTTGAATCAAAGACTATTATGGAACATTTTCTCATGAATCTTTGAAGGGGCAATTCTTTCATTGTAATTTCCTCACACTGTTATGTTTGAGTAGAGGGATTTTAATGCTGTGTGACGATGAAAGATCAGTGGGACTCCGACTAGATTGGTTTGTAATTTCTCCTAGAGACCATTCTTAAATCTATCTGAAGTGTTTTTTTTTTAGAATGGTTATATCCTCATATTTTATCTCACTTTGCTCTTAAGTAACTGACATTAGGCTTTATATGAATAGGCATTTTAATTTTGTGATGAATTTTTATGGCCTTGAGTGCTTCGTCCGACAGACTTATTTTCCTATATTTTTTGCTGTCGTGCATAAGGGTTTATAATCGTCATACCAGCGGTTAGGCTAATGGGGAATCTTATTAATGAAGATTTTTCTAATGGTGAATGAAAATGGCCGGCTCATAAATGTATTTTCCCCTGGCACAGCATCTCTAGTTCTTTATCGTGAGGACCTTAACACTTACAGTACCTCAGAACAAACCAGAAGACCCACTATGAACTCACAGGGGTATCTGAGTCATATAGTAACAATAATAATAATCCTGTACAGTGATAAGTGGTATGGATTATTTTAAATGTTTGTCAGCTTTGGTCCACATGACATCCACGCTTGATCATTTGGAGGTGATGTCCTAGATGATCATAAATGTACTATTACTTTCTATATGAAAAGAGCTGGTGTGTTTTTAAACCACAAAGAACGACTCGAGGCGGGTCATGGCACAAAAACTCACAATACGTTGTATTGTACTGTACTTTCTATTTGCAGCAGTGCAAAATCACAATGATGGGAGATTTTTGGAATCCTCCTTTCTCTGTACTGTGGCAGTATTCAACATAACAAGCACATTATTCTGTTAAGTCCTAAATCATGAAAAGAGACTTGTCATCCTTGGGTTGATGTATGTGTTTTTACTGTGGACTGGAGCAAAGTACAAAACACATGGTATTTGAGTCATGTAGCTGTACGTGTATCAATTATAATTTTATTGTGAAACTCTCAGTTTAAGAGATGGCTTTTAAAATGACATTACACCCCATCACATCCGCTCCTTGTCAAGTGAGTCTTGTTTTATGGCAATGTAAAGGGGGACATTCTGACCACAGTGACGTCTAAGAATGATGGGGTGCTTCTACAGTACATTCCATAAATGCTTGAAAAAGAATAACATATTCAATACCCATTGTTAGATGTCACATTTGTATTTATATTTGACAGTTGCATTACATACTTGGAAATTCATGACTGATCTTGCTTTGAAAGCATTTTTAATATTTCAGTAGCTGAAATGATAGTTGTTGATATATTATTGAGGTTAAATTTTGTGTGAACATGACAACAGTACAGTAGCTGGTTATGATATGTTTGGTTATAAAATAATGTGGATTAGGTTTGATTTGTTTGTTGTTGTAGCGCCCTCTTGCTGTCACAAGGCACTGCGAAATCTTCTTGTATGTAGATCCAAACTCCACTTGTGTTAGTTCTATGGCTAAACATGCATGTGCTCAAAGCCTTCCATCTTGTTCTGGTGTAGTGTATACTATTTGGGTTTAACATGGGGTTAGTTGATTTATATATTGGTTATTGTATTTTGTGAAGAGGTGATCCTGTAGACCTTTTTCCATCATGACTTGAGCAGTGTTCATATTCCCAGGAAAACGTTTGAATTGTAAGCAATAATACATACATTACTTTAACTATCAAAAATAAGTAGCAGATCCGTATGGCTCTGATTGGCAAAAACAACTGTAATTTTCATAGTCATCATTTTGAATAATCAAATCTCTCAGAAATGCTAAATGACGTACACATAAAACTGTTGAAATCATATTTACAATGGGTAAAACTGCAAATGTATGGTGTTGGACATAATTCAGGAGTCCTATTACCTGAGATTTTGGGTCACCCCATGTACCAGAGGTGATGCGTTATCAAATGTACAGTAATAAATGGTCCCCACAGTAAAGGCCCAATTACAATCCTATTTTATGGTCTTGCCTTCAATTAATTGGTACAAGGGCGGAACTATTGTTCTGTTTTTTTTTCTTATTATTGATATTTGAAAGTGTGCTGGCAGTTAATTTTTTTAATTGTGTCAGTTGTTCCCTCTGTACATGTTTTGGCACACAAAAAATAAAGGTCACAATTTGCCTCTGTTTAAATCATTAATGCCTTCCAACTGCCATAGAGTCCCACAGCTACTTACTGTAGCAAGATGCTTTTCTCACCCAAGTATTTCAGTTTTAATTCTTCCTCTTTGCCAAGGACTCAGTGAGTCGTGGTTTAATCTTTGTCTCATTTCTGTCTGTACAGAAGTAGCATAGCAACAGCCTTAACCCAGCACTAGCCCAGCCCTGACTGTAACCTAAAAATAGTAAATCGTGGTCATAAAATACATTATTCACAAGTTTGAAAAAATGTATGCTTTGCCTCCCCATCTCTGGCTTTACTGTCAAACTGTGACTATTAGCTCAAGTTAGGATCAAAAAGTTATTTACAAGTCGGCCGCATGTTATAAAATGTTTTATTTATTAAGTACACTATATATTTGTCAAAAAATAAAAGCCAACCCTTCAATCTCTTGTTTTTTAGTGTTCCAAGCCAAAGGATATGTGAAAGAGATATTTATGTAAAGCACAACACAGCGTCCCTTCAACTCTCTTTGCATAGACTCTACAGCACCACTTTCCCTTTCTACACTTATGTCAGATGCTTAGACCAACTAGTTATGCTCTTCCCCTGAACCCATTTATTTTGTCCTCTGATTTTCCTTACCCAAAGCCTTCTACTTTGTGACACTGAGGGGAATGGGGGTCAAGCATATCACTTCATATACTCTGAGTCAAAGCCTTTCAAAATAGGTTTTTGTGTTAGTCGTCAGACTACATTTTAAAATCGATTTTTTTCGACTTTAGAGAGGATGGACTCAGTTTAAAGTGGCTTGTCTAAGCGCTTTGAAACATGATGCTACATATTATAATCTGCTTGCAATGTGGTTATAATTGTCATAATTGTTACACTGACATGCCAAATACATCATCTGAGTTAAATGTCATTTCCACCTAAATAGACATACCCAAAAGTAATTATTTATCATGAGGGAGCCATAAACAATACCTATTGTCTTAATGCTTATACTGCCAGAAAATTACAATCTCACCTTTCTGGTAAAAATAGTTATAAATTGCTGAAGTTTAGTCACTTTTGAGGACACAAGCTCAAGTACACAGTACAAATATACAAATCTGAAAATAAGAAAAATCATATGATTTTTTCCCATATTCAACAAACGTTGGGGAATAGGGCTTGAAATTATTGAAATACATTCTAAATATAGTTACAATCAAATTATAAATGACTTACTATAAGATTTGACCTTATAACTGTAAAATAAGATCATACTTAGTGACAGTACAAAACTGGCACCATTTCATATAACTGACACCAGATCATTTTCTGCCCAGCATCCTCTGAGCGATGCAGACACCATTTGAGTGCCTGCTGACTCCTTCCAATTTCAGCTTTAAGCACAAAGTGATTTCGTCCCTCCTAAACAGGGGACTTCACATCTATTAATCATGTTTCACTATTTATTTACCATCTACACTGAACAAAAATATAAACCCAACATGCAACATTTTCTAAGATTTTATTGGGTTTCAGTTCATTTAAGGAAATTGAAATAATTGAAATAAATTCATTAGGCCCTAATCTATGGATTTCACATGACTGGTAATACAGATATGTATCTGTTGGTCACAGATACCTTAAATAAAAGGTAGGGGCGTGGATCAGAAAACCAATAAGTCTGGTGTGACCACCATTTGCCTCATGCAGCGCGACACATCGCATAGAGTTGATCAGGCTGTTGATTGTGGCTTGTGGAATGTTGTCGCATTCCTGTTCAATGGCTGTGCGAAGTTGCTGGATATTGGCGGGAACTGGAACACACTGTCGTACACGTCGATCCTGAGAATCCCAAACATGCTCAATGGGTGACATGTCTGGTGAGTATGCAAGCCATGGAAGAACTGGGACATTTTCAGCTTCCAGGAATTGTGTACAGATCCTTGCGACATGAGGCTGTGCATTATCATGCTGAAACATGAGGTGAAGGCGTCGGATGAATGGCACGACAATGGGCCTCAGGATCTCGTCATGGTATCTCTGTGCATTCAAATTGCCATCGATAAAATGCAATTGTGTTTGTTGTCCGTAGCGTATGCCTGCCCATACCATAACCCCATCGCCACCATGGGACATTGAAACCGGTATTCATCAGTGAAGAGCACACTTCTCCAGCGTGCCAGTGGCCATCGCAGGTGAGCATTTGCCCACTGAAGTCAGTTACGACGCCGAACTGCAGTCAGGTCAAGACCCTGGTGAAGACTACGAGCACGCAGATGAGCTTCCCTGAGACGATTTGTGACAGTTTGTGCAGAAATACTTTGGTTGTGCAAACCCACAGTTTCATCAGCTATCCGGGTGGCTGGTCTCAGACGATCCCGCAGGTGAAGAAGCCGGATGTGGAGGTCCTGGGCTGGCGCGGTTACACGTGGTCTGCGGTTGTGAGGCCGGTTGGACATACTGCCAAATTCTCTAAAACGACGTTGGAGGCAGCTTATGGTAGAGAAATTAACATAAAATTCTCTGGCAACAGCTCTGGTGGACATTCATGCATTCAGCATGCCAATTGCACGCTACCTCAAAACTTGTGGCATTGTGTTGTGTGACAAAACTGCACATTTCAGAGTTGCCTTTTATTGTCCCCAGCACAAGGTGCAAGTGTGTAATGATCATGCTGTTTAATCAGCTTCTTGATATGACACACCTGTCAGGTGGATGGATTACCTTGGCAAAGGAGAAATGCTCACTAACAGGGATATTAACAAATGTGTGAACAAAATTTGTAAGAAATAAGCTTTTTGTGCATATGGAAAATTTCTGGGATCTTTTATTTCAGCTCATGAAACATGTTACCAACACTTTACATGTTGCGTTTATATTTTTGTTCAGTATATTATCGAAAATATATATTCAAAATTCACCATGGGTCATCATCATTGAACTTGGTAAAAAGAGCATAAGGGTATCAACTATTTAGTCTCTGTGGAAGACATCAAATTAATAAATGTCTTAATCCTTTAAAGTAATCCCTCAAGTAACCACCCATATTCATTATTTTCCTTTTGTTCATTTGGATGTCAACCTTTATTTACATCATCAAGAAAGAAAGAAAAATAACATTACAGAAAGGGTTTATTACATTTTTGTAGATTGTATTTAGAGCAATATCTTCCAGTGAGTATAGGTAAAGACATTTTCATACAACCACATGTTCTGAATCTGTCTGACTGTGTTGGCTGTAGCTAGCACTTAGTCCAAATAATTATAATTGATTCAATGGACTCAATGATTGTGAATCTGCCCTTAATCCGGGTCCTGACCAGGTTGGGTGTGTGAGGGATTACTCTTTGCTGAATGCCTTGATTAAAAACACCTCTCGACTGCCCCTCTTCCTGACAGACTCATCATAGCAGCAGTCATCCCTGTCCTCTCCTCCACATCAATAAAAAGAGCTGTGCTTACATCCAAATCCTCGAGCCATTTTCTCTCTACAACTCCCCATTCATTTCTGTTCTGTTGAAAGGAAATCGTATATAATTTGACATGATATGATTTATATTTATAGCATATCTGAACTACCTCAGGGGCAACAAAAATAATCTATATGACTTGAACACATAATTAAAAGGTGCCATGGTATACATTTGTGTATAATCAATAATACACACATATTTTGCTGTTTCTTTGTTGAATTAAAGGATGTTTTCAGATAAATCAAATAACATAGGTTGGAGAAAGTTAAGTGCTTTCAACTTCATTATACAACCACACAAGAGAAAAATACTAAGCTATGTAACACTGCAGTTTACATTCCCATCTAATCAATATTCATGAATCTAATAATTATTCATGTATATTAGGAAATCAATCGGTTTAATTGCTGAAAAATATGCATGAAAAAATGTTACGGCTAATTGATACTTCCAATGATAAATGTTGGCAATACTAACTTAGTGACCATCCTAACAATTGCTATAATCATCAGAATTAAAATTGTCTTCCTTTGTCAGGAATAAGATAGCAATTTGTTCATAGTCCTCATCCTTACAGTACATGTACCTGTTCAAAAAAATACACTTGAACCTTCAAGAAAATGATACAATATTGTAGAAAACAGTTGGTCTCCATGGAAATACGATTGTGTTATCTTTATCAACACTGTGAACAACACGTGTGAATCATTGTGAATTATGTCTGAGGATCTACCCAAAGACAAATAACTGAATTCAGAATTGTTTTGTCATCCATTCTTCGTTCATTGGTTCTGCGTTCACTCCTTCATGTTAGAATGTTGTTTGAAGTACAGTGCAACGGACAGGTCCAAAAGTTCACACAGTTATCATCCCTTTCTCTGATAAAATGTAAAATGTGTCTTTCTGGAAGAAAAAAATAGGTATGTCAATAATAGCTCCATTTACATGTTGGATTCACATGTCTTTGTTCATTGGATGACAACATACTCGTTTGTGTTCTCTCCTCCTTCTCTCTGGGCCATGATGTAGTGAAAGTGCAGTGTCGAGAGGGAGGACTCAGGGGAAGGGGAGGAGAGGGGGTGAACAGGCTCTGTCAGGTGGAGTATTTGATTTTGGATGTCTGTGTATTACAGGAGACACTGGTGAGAGTGGGAACCCCCCCAGCGGTAGTCGCAGCACCTTGGCTCTCCAGAAACATTGGATCCAGGCAAGCAACTTTGGCAGCAAAGAACGCATGGATACAGTGAAGCACGGCAAAGAGGTTAGAAAATTCCAGCTCCTGGGAAACAAAAGATAGACAGTAAGTATTTAATGTTTTGGTATAATAATTTTACATTTTTATGAATGCACAATACAGTTTATCGTTGTTCACATTGGTATCAGACGATAATGGCTAAGAAAACATGATACAAATATTATATCTCTATTGGCTGATTTCACTTGAGTCAGAGATATAGCATAGGTTTGTTACCTTGGCTTCAATAGCTTTATTGTCCTGATTTTGGAACAGAAATTTGATCTTGCTCTTCCCATCATCAGACGATCCTTTCAGTTGGGAAAACTTGAATCTCCATAGCACTGCCTATATAGTGGAAGGAAGTAAATGCGGTTGGAGATGGTTTATAAAAAAGCTTACCTTCTCGAACTAAGATGGAGTCAAGCGTTACGGTAAACTAGCTGTTATCTATCTATCTATTTGATCCTAATTATTCCTTTTAAATTATCTACCTATAAATATCATATAATTGAATTGCATAGCTCAATGATTCCCATCATGTTTTTCCACCTAATATTTGAAAATGTACCAGACAGTGCAGTTATAATAATAATTCATAACCTCAGCAGGCAACCCAGTGTGGATTGTAGAGTCACCTGGAAGATGAGCATCAACATCCTGTTGACGATTGGAATCTACTACAGAGTGATGATAAACGTCCTCCTAATTGTCAACCATTTTGTTGGGCCTGTCTAGAGAATGTGAAAGCATCCACGTCACCTTGTTCTAAATCAGTCGCCTGCGTTTTCAACATTGGGTAGGTTGGTTTTAATTTGTGTCAATAGAGATTGAGCTCTCCCTCTGTATCACTGTCTGTCTGACTTTTGGTCATGAATAGAATGGAACTGTATTTGCCCTTGGAAAGGAATTTGCACATGTAAAATATGCAATTTAATTTATTCACATTCTATACAAAACAAGACATACGTGTACAAAACATACAATAGAAAGCAACACTTTTCCTCCTAGGGGCTCCACACAGATCTGAATCCTGTGAGTGCAAAACAAGGCCGGTTTCCTATCTGATTCAATTATTAAACATTCCCCACCATGTGTATAGTTTTACAATTGCCGTTTAAATATGAATAGTACTTTCATGCTTGTTTGATATACAATACCCTGCCTATCAGCAGTAGGCTAGGCTACTGTGAGACTTTCTGGGGAGAGAAAAATAATATGCTTCGCTGTGTAGGAATTAGGCCAAGAAATACAGAGAACAATATAGCTGTCGATGTGTCCTGTTTGTCCACATTATGTATTCTAGTGGATTAGTTCTGGTGTCACTCAGACTTGGTAAAAGTCAAAAGTTTATGTACCAGTAATGTAACTTACCTTTGAAGCAGCATCGAAACAGACAAAGCCCATACTGAAGTCTACGGTCAGTCCCATCAGGTGGCTCTCCATGATGCAAGCGTACGTTTTACACTGTGGAGAGGAAACAGTGCATGAAGTTAGTCATTAGAGGAATATATAATAGAGAGCATAATTTTCCACAGCCAAATGCATATAAATCAGTTGTTGTGAGAGGATGAGCAAGCTTGGCCTGTATAGTATAATATGCTACTGCTTCTCTTTATCACTTATCAGTGTATCTCCTACCATTGTACAGTGGCTTGCGAAAGTATTCACCCCCGTTGGCATTTTTCCTATTTTGTTGCCTTAAAACCTGGAATTAAAATAGATTTTTTGGGGGTTTGTATCATTTGATTTACACAACATGCCTACCATTTTGAAGATGCAAAATATGTTTTATTGTGAAACAAACAAGAAATATGACAAAAAAACAGAAATCCTGAGCGTGCATAACTATTCACCCCCCCAAAGTCAATACTTTGTAGAGCCACCATTTACAGCAATTACAGCTGCAAGTCTCTTGGGGTATGTCTCTATAAGCTTGGCACATCTAGCCACTTGGATTTTTGCCCATTCTTCAAGGCAAAACTGCTCCAGCTCTTTCAAGTTGGATCGGTTCCACTGGTGTACAGCAATCTTTAAGTCAAACCACAGTTTCTCAATTGGATTGAGGTCTGGGCTTTGACTAGGCCATTCCAAGACATTTAAATGTTTCCCCTTAAACCACTTGAGTGTTGCTTTAGCAGTATGCTTAGGGTCATTGTCCTGCTGGAAGGTGAACCTCCGTCCCAGTCTCAAATCTCTGGAAGACTGAAAAAGGTTTCCCTCAAGAATTTCCCTGTATTTTGCGCCATCCATCATTCCTTCAATTCTGACCAGTTTCCCAGTCCCTGCCGATGAAAAACATCCCCACAGCATGGTGTTATCGGGGTGATGAGAGGTGTTGGGTGTGCACCAGACATAATTTTTGAATTATCCAAGATGGCGTAGTAGTGCAGTCCTGTTTTTGTCGTGTGTCTGTAAATAGCCTGTAAATACCCTGTTTTTTTTGTATTTTTCGTACATATTCCCCTATCAGACTTTTCATCCTTCTACAAAATATACTTTCCTGCAACCCGCCTCACTCAATGTGGAACGGATTCTATTATTGACTTACCTTTATCTGGAGTCTTCAGTTGAAACTAGCTAGCCAGCTGACTGGCTACTTGCTATTAGCCACAGCTGGCGGTATTTCACCCAGAGCATTGGATTTTTTTTTTCTGCGGGATTTATTTGGTCACTGGACATTAATCACCGGATATTCGGCCAGTCTGCACAGCGCGTTGTCGACCCAGAACATATCGGTTTTTCCGCCGGAATCACTGAATCACTGGACCTTTAACTCCTGATTCATCGCTACCAGCTAGCTGCAACGGAATGGACGCTGTGGTCTGGCTAATCATCCTGAGCTAGGCCCATCTCCCGGCTATCTACCTCTCTGTCAACCGGACGGGACCACCTAGTGTTGACACGGAGCCCCGCCGATCCTACACGACTGGTCTGCCGATGAAATCGTCTGATGTGGTTACGACGTTAACCACGAAGATTCCATCTGCTAGCCCCGGCCCGCTAGCACACGCTAGCCGTGGCCTCTTACTCGAACTATCCCATTGCTGTTCACCGGACCTTATGATAACTCAGCTATACAGCTGATGTCTGCTGGACTGTTCCTTTTTACGGTACTACATCCTGTTTATGTTTAGCCTCAGCCCAAACATGGTTAGCTTATTGTTGTTTCGGTTATTTCTAATTGTACTATTTTACTGTAGACCCCCCAGCCCAGCTAAACCTGGCTTAGATAGCTCCTTTGTCCCACCCCCTATACACGCGGAGACCGACTCAATTGATGCCTCCAGCGATGCTATCTCTTTCATTGTTACCCAACGCTTAGGTTTACCTCCACTTTACTCATATCCTTCCATATCCTTGTCTGTACATAATGCCCTGAATCTTTTCTATAACACCCGGAAATCTGCCCCCTTTATTCTATGTACCCAACGCACTAGAAGACCAGTTCTTAAAGCCTTTAGCCGTATCCTTATTCTAGTCCTCCTCTGTTCCTCTGGTGATGTAGAGGCTAACCCAGGCCCTGCAGCCCTCAGTATCACTCCTACTCCCCAGGCGCTATCATTTGCTGACTTCTGTAATCGCAAAAGTCTTGGTTTCTTGCACATAAATATCAGAAGTCTACTTCCTAAGTTTGAGTTATTCACTGCGTTAGCACACTCCGCCAACCCTGATGTTCTAGCAGTGTCTGAATCCTGGCTCAGGAAGGCCACCAAAAATTCTGAAATTTCCATCCCCAACTATAACATTTTCCGTCTAGATAGAACTGCCAAAGGGGGTGGAGTTGCAATCTACTGTAGAGATAGCCTGCAGAGCTCTATCATACTATCCAGGTCTGTGCCCAAACAGTTTGAGCTTCTACTTCTAAAAATCCACCTTTCCAGAAATAAGTCTCTCACTGTTGCCGCTTGCTACAGACCCCCCTCAGCCCCCAGCTGTGCCCTGGACACCATATGTGAATTGATTGCCCCCCATTTATCCTCAGAGTTCGTACTGCTTGGTGACCTAAATTGGGATATGCTTAATCCCCCAGCCATCCTACAATCCAAACTAGATGCCCTCAACCTCACGCAAATTATCAACGAACCTACCAGGTACAACCCTAAATCCGTAAACATGGGTACCCTCATAGATATCATCCTGACTAACATACCCTCTAAATACACCTCAGCTGTCTTCAACCAGGATCTCAGCGATCACTGCCTTATTGCCTGCGTCCGTAACGGGTCCGCGGTCAAAGGACCACCCCTCATCACTGTCAAACGCTCCCTAAAACACTTTAGCGAGCAGACCTTCCTAATTGACCTGGCCGAGGTATCCTGGATGGATATAGATCTCATTCCGTCAGTAGAGGATGCCTGGTTGTTCCTTAAAAGTAATTTCCTCTCAATCTTAAATAAACATGCCCCATTCAAAAAATACAGAACTAAGAACCGATATAGCCCCTGGTTCTCCTCAGACTTGACTGCCCTTGACCAGCACAAAAACATCCTGTGGCGTACAGCATTAGCATCAAATAGCCCCCGCGATATGCAACTTTTCAGGGAAGTTAGGAACCAATATACACAAGCAGTCAGGAAAGCAAAGGCTAACTTTTTCAAACAGAAATTTGCATCCTGTAGCACTAACTCCAAAAAGTTTTGGGACACTGTAAAATCCATGGAGAATAAGAGCACTTCCTCCCAGCTGCCCACTGCACTGAGGCTAGGAAACACTATCACCACCGATAAATCTACAATAATCGAGAATTTCAACAAGCATTTTGCTACAGCTGGCCATGCTTTCCATCTGGCTAACACTACCCCGGCCACCAACTCTGCACCCTCTGCTGCAACTTGCCCATGCCCCCCCCCCCCCCCCGCTTCTCCTTCACACAAATTCAGACAGCTGATGTTTTGAAAGCGCTGCAAAATCTGGACCCCTACAAATCAGCTGGGCTAGACAATCTGGACCCTTTCTTTCTAAAACTAGCCGCCGAAATTGTCGCAACCCCTATTACTAGTCTGTTCAACCTCTCTTTCATAACGTCTGAGATCCCCAGAGATTGGAAAGCTGCCGCGGTCATCCCCCTCTTCAAAGGGGGTGACACTCTAGATCCAAACTGCTACAGACCTATATCCATCCTGCCCTGCCTTTCGAAAGTATTTGAAAGCCAAGTTAACAAACAGATCACCGACCATTTCGAATACCACCGTACCTTCTCCGCTATGCAATCCGGTTTCCGAGCTGGTCATGGGTGCACTTCAGCCACGCTCAAGGTCCTAAACGATATTATAACCGCGATTGATAATAGACAGTACTGTGCAGCCGTCTTCATCGACCTGGCCAAGGCTTTCGACTCTGTCAACCACCGCATTCTTATTGGCAGACTAAATAGCCTTGGTTTCTCAAATGACTGCCTCGCCTGGTTCACCAACTACTTCTCAGATAGAGTTCAGTGTGTCAAATCGGAGGGCCTGTTGTCTGGACCTATGGCAGTCTCTATGGGGGTGCCACAGGGTTCAATTCTTGGGCCGACACTTTTCTCTGTGTATATCAATGATGTCGCTCTTGCTGCTGGTGACTCTCAGATCCACCTCTACGCAGACGACACCATTTTGTATACATCTGGCCCTTCATTGGACACTGTGTTAACAAACCTCCAAACGAGCTTCAATGCCATACAACACTCCTTCAGTAGCCTCCAACTGCTCTTAAACACTAGTAAAACTAAATGCATGCTTTTCAATCGAACGCTGCTGGCACCCGCCCACCCGACTAGAATCACCACTCTTGACGGGTCTGACCTAGAGTATGTGGACAACTACAAATACCTAGGTGTCTGGTTAGACTGTAAACTCAACTTCCAGACTCACATAAAGAATCTCCAATCCAAAGTTAAATCTAGAATCGGCTTCCTATTTCGCAACAAAGCCTCCTTCACTCATGCTGCCAAACATGCCCTCGTAAAACTGACTATCCTACCGATCCTTGACTTCGGCGATGTCATTTACAAAATAGCCTCCAACACTCTACTCAGCAAATTGGATGTAGTCTATCACAGTGCCATCCGTTTTGTCTCCAAAGCCCCATACACTACCCACCACTGTGACCTGTACGCTCTTGTTGGCTGGTCCTCACTACATGTTCGTCGTCAAACCCACTGGCTCCAGGCCATCTATAAATCACTGCTAGGCAAATCCCCGCCTTATCTTAGCTCATTGGTCACCATAGCAGCACCCACCCGTAGTCTGCGCTCCAGCAGGTATATCTCACTGGTCATTCCCAAAGCCAACACCTCCTTTGGCCACCATTCCTTCCAGTTCTCTGCTGCCAATGACTGGAACGAATTGCAAAAATCTCTGAAGCTGGAGACTCTTATCTCCCTCAATAACTTTAAGCATCAGTTGTCAGAGCACCTTACCGATCACTGCACCTGTACACAGCCCATCTGAAATTAGCCCACCCAACTACCTCATCCCTATATTGTTATTTATTTTGCTCTTTTGCACCCCAGTATCTCTATTTGCACATAATCTCTTGCACATCTAGCATTCCAGTGTTAATACTATTGTAATTATTTTGCACTATAGCCTATTTATTGCCTTACCTCCATAACTTGCTACATTTGCACACACTGTATATATATTTTCTGTTGTATTTTTGACTTTATGTTTTGTTTTACCCCATATGTAACTCTGTGTTGTTTTTATTGCACTGCTTTGCTTTATCTTGGCCAGGTCGCAGTTGTAAATGAGAACCTGTTCTCAACTGGCTTACCTGGTTAAATAAAGGTGAAATAAATTTTTTTTTTTTAAAACATAGCTTTTTCTTTTTCTTATTTTTTTCTTTAAGCAATGCCTTTTTTCTGGCGACTCTTCCGTAAAGCCCAGCTCTGTGGAGTGTGCGGCTTAAAGTGGTCCTATGGACAGATACTCCAATCTCCGCTATGGAGCTTTGCAGCTCCTTCGGGGTTATCTTTGGTCTCTTTGTTATCTCTCTGATTAATGCACTCCTTGCCTAGTCCGTGAGTTTTGGTGGGCGGTCCTCTCTTGGCAGGTTTGTTGTGGTGCCATATTCTTTCAATTTTTAATAATGGATTTAATGGTGCTCCATGGGATGTTCAAAGTTTCTGATATTTTTTTATAACTCAACACTGATCTGTACTTCTCCACAACTTTGTCCCTGACCTGTTTGGAGAGCTCCTTGGTCTTCGTGGTGCTGCTTGCTTGGTGGTGCCCCTTGCTTAGTGGTGCTGCTGACTCTGGGGCCTTTCAGAACAGGTGTATATATACTGAGATCATGTGACAGATCATGTGACACTTAGATTGCACACAGGTGGACTTTATTTAACTAATTATGTGACTTCTGAAGGTGATTGGCTGCACCAGATCTTATTTAGGGGCTTCATAGCAAAGAGGGTGAATACATATGCACGCACCACTTTTCCGTTATTTATTTTTTAGAATTTTTTTGAAACAAGTTATTTTCTTAATTTCACTTCACCAATTTGCACTATTTTGTGTATGTCCATTACATGAAATCCAAATAAAAATCCATTTAAATTACAGATTGTAATGCAACAAAATAGGAGAAAAATGCCAAGGGGGATGAATACATTTGCAAGGCACTGTATAAGCAGGATGTGCCACTCCCCACCCCCACCTAAAAGAGTTTGGCTTTGATTGGTTTCAAGTGGATGTTGCTTTGGTGGCATTGTAACCTGCCTGGAAATTGATTTATGAAAAAGTTCTGCCTCTCATATATTGTGTACCTGTATTCTCTCCACCTCCAGGAAGGTAGCCATCTGAAAGGCCTTCTCCCAGATGAGCAGCTCACACTCCAGCTCTACGCTGTAGAACATGTCCTCCCCACACTCCGTCTGGACACTAAAGCAGTGCTTCCGCTTGTCCAAGAGGTCACTGTCCTGAGAGAACCACGTTAGTCATGCCTGCCATCACACCGGGGTTCAAATTGTATTTGTTTTCTTTTAAATTCTTTGAGCGGTTTCATTGAGCCTGTCTGGAATGGCAGATGGGCGGGGTTTGCACATTTGGGACTATTCTATTGGTTACATTGCCCCTGACAAGCTCAATCATAATCAAGCACAGCTTAAGTATTTTAAATATTTCAAATATTATTTGAACCCAGGTCTTGCTATCATGCTGACAATGTGCACAGGGGACAGTTAGTGACTAATTTACTGTACTGTATGCAGATAAGAAATTCAGAGATACACTAAGGGGATGTGAAAGACATTGGCTGGAATTCAATCAACATGCATTTTCAGAAAAGCTGTTTCACATGTTCAGAATGCTGTTTCACATGTGTAATTCAATGTGTTATGGGTGGAGGGAGATAGTTGACAATACATATAGAAATAAACAGTTATGTGCATGGCGCGCGCCGAATGACCAGCTCACTCAGTATGTGACAACGAACCTGGCTGAGTGAGAAATGAATAAGCGGAGCTGCTGTTGCTGCTGTGAGGATTTCAAAATCACGTGTAAACTCCCTCCACCCACCCGAGACACGCTGCTGTAAATATCAAATGCACTCGTGAAAGTGCATTGCAGAAAAGTTCAATGATACCAGCCAGAGTTTCAGAAAGTATAACCGATTCCAATAGCAGCATTTTGAGTTTTACTGAGTTTTGCACTGACATATGATACAGAAACCAGTGGTCAAGAAATTGCTCAACTCTAGCCTTGCAAATACGCAATGTGCATAGAAATTGTGGAATATCCACACATTCTATGTCACAACTCTTTCTATTAAAATGACAAAGGACACATAGCACAGATCTCTTCTCTTTTTCATGTCATCTTCCAAACACAGACCCTGAGATTTGCTACTCAGCACTTTCTAAATACGTAAAAGTTGTTGCCATACCTTTACAACTTTACACATGATCTCGTACACAGTGTAGCTTTTCTCTGCCCTGGTCCAGTCCCATGTAGTCACCTGCAACATTACACATACAGTGCTATGAAAAAGTATTTGCCCCCTTTCTAATTTTCTCTACTTTTGCATATTTGTGATACTGAATGTTATCAGATCTTCAACCAAAACCTAATATTAGATAAAGGGAACATAAGTGGACAAATAACACAACAATTACATATTTATTTCATTTATTTCATAAACAAAGTTATGCAACACCCAATTCCCCTGTGTGAAAAAGTAATTGCCCCCTTACACTCAATAACTGGTTGTGCCACCTTTAGCTGCAATGACTCCAACCAAAAGCTTCCTGTAGTTGTTGATCAGTCTCTCACGTCGCTGTGGAGGAATTTTGGCCCACTCTTCCATGCAGAACTGCTTTAACTCAGTGACGTGTGGGTTTTCAAGCATGAACAGCTCGTTTCAAGTCCTGCCACAACATCTCAATTGGGATTAGGTCTGGACTTTGACTAGGCCATTCCAAAACTTCCAATTTGTTGCTTTTTAGCAATTTTCATGCTGCGTTTCAGCTTCAGCTCACAGACGGATGGTCTGACATTCTCCTGTAGAATTCTCTGATACAGAGCAGAATACATGGTTCCTTCTATTAAGGCAAGTCATCCAGGTCCTGAGGCAGCAAAGCATCCCCAAACCATCACACCACCACCACCATGCTTGACCTTTCGTATGATGTTCTTACTGTGGAATGCAGAGTTTGGTTTTTGCCAGGCATTACTGGAACCATGTCGTCCAAAAAGTTATACTTTTGAATCATCTGTCCATAGAACGTTCTTCCAAGAGTCTTGATGATTATCCAGGTGCTTTTTGGCAAACTTGAGTCAACTTTTTGGACGAGATGGGTCCCATTATGCCTGCCGAAAACCAAACACTGCATTCCACAGTAAGAACATCATACCAAAGGTCAAGCATGGTGGTGGTGGTGTGATGGTTTGGGGATGCTTTGCTGCCTCAGGACCTGGATGACTTGCCTTAATAGAAGGAACCATGAATTCTGCTCTGTATCAGAGAATTCTACAGGAGAATGTCAGACCATCCGTCTGTGAGCTGAAGCTGAAGCGCAGCTGGGTCATGCAGCAAGACAATGATCCAAAACACACAATCAAGTCTACATGAAAATTGCTAAAAAGCAACAAATTGGACGTTTTGGAATGGCCTAGTCAAAGTCCAGACCTAATCCCAATTGAGATGTTGTGGCAGGACTTGAAACGAGCAGTTCATGCTTGAAAACCTACACGTCATTGAGTTAAAGCAGTTCTGCATGGAAGAGTGGGCCAAAATTCCTCCACAGCGACGTGAGAGACTGATCAACAACTACAGGAAGCTTTTGGTTGGAGTCATTGCAGCTAAAGGTGGCACAACCAGTTATTGAGTGTAAGGGGGCAATTACTTTTTCACACAGGGGAATTGGGTGTTGCATAACTTTGTTTATGAAATAAATGAAATAAATATGTAATTGTTGTGTTATTTGTCCACTTATGTTCCCTTTATCTAATATTAGGTTTTGGTTGAAGATCTGATAACATTCAGTATCACAAATATGCAAAAGTAGAGAAAATTAGAAAGGGGGCAAATACTTTTTCATAGCACTGTAAATACTCCATAGTCTTCTATTCAGATGGATCCCTTTGAAATCTTTTTGAAGTGTAATTACATTGGTCTGTTTCAGTTGCCTTAACTTTAATCTTTTATATCCTACTTGCACATACCGTGTTCCCATGTTCACACTTGTTACAGGTTAGTTTTTTCTCTCCATTACGATGTTGGTTAGCACGTTAGCATGATATCTGAGGCGCGCACTGATAGGAGTCACCTCGTTAGCCACCTGTGCTGGCCCAGCTGGTTCTTAAGAGCTGCTGGCCCAGTGCACCATGGGAGAGGATGTTGGGAGAGCTAAACCTCACGTCAGCTGAGATAGGATTTCCACCTCAACCACTTTAGTTATGAAAGAAGCCTGAGTTTTGGCGTTTCCCCTGTTTGTTTTGCTCCATATTCTCTTTACTCCCTATCCTAAGTTGGTGTGGGTTTTTCTTTCTGTGCTCCGGTATGTTGATGAGGTCAACCATTTTATCAACTTTTTTCTCTAAGTTGTAAGGGCCTGAAAAGCGAGCTTGCCACAGTGACCCATATTCTCCATATTCTCACTGGCACACTCACAGGTGCAATGCAGCTGCAATCTGTATTGAAAAGCAGTTATGTGCTCCAACAGATTTGTTTTCGTGTTTGAGGTGTCCTGCAACAACCTCTCGCTCAGCAAGCTCAATGGACCTCTGACCAGTGGCGGTCAGTGCCGGTCAGTGGCGTTTAAGATGAGGGAGGACAAATTATTTTTTCTATTACAACATATTGGATGACTGTCATTCATTTTCCATTCACCCAGTTCAATGTAACAGCGATAGATTTAGGCTACTACCTGATACTCAAATTTTCCCTATAACCATCATGAGGTTGCTACCTAGCCCCCCCCATACTCAACTGGCGGACCGCAGACCGGATCCAGACCCAGAACAGGGTCAATACGGACCACGCCCCCCCCCCAATTTTTTTATATATATATATATACACACTACCGTTCAAAAGTTTGGGGTCACTTATAAATGTCCTTGTTTTCTAAAGAAAAGCAATTTTTTTGTCCATTAAAATAACATAAAATTGATCAGAAATACAGTGTAGACATTGTTAATGTTGTAAATGGCTATTGTAGCTGGAAACGGTTGATTTTTAATGGAATATCTACATAGGCGTTCAGAGGCCCATTATCAGCAACCATCAGTCCTGTGTTCCAATGACACGTTGTTTGCTAATCCAAGTTTATCATTTTAAAAGGCTAATTGATAATTAGAAAACCCTTTTGCAATTATGTTAGCACAGCTGAAAGCTGTTGTGCTGATTAAAGAAGCAATAAAACTGGCCTTCTTGAGACTAGTTGAGTATCTGGAGCATCAGCAATTATGGGTTCATTTACAGGCTCAAAATGGCCAGAAACAAAGAACTTTCTTCTGAAACTCATCAGTCTATTCTTGTTCTGAGAAATGAAGGCTATTCTTGCCAAGAAACTGAAGATCTCATATAACGCTGTGTACTACTCCCTTCATAGAACAGCGCAAACTGGCTCTAACCAGAATAGAAAGAGGAGTGGGAGGCCCCAGTGCACAACTGAGCAAGAGGACAAATACATTAGAGTGTCTAGTTTGAGAAACAGACGCCTCACAGGTCCTCAACTGGCAGCTTCATTAAATAGTACCCGCAAAACACCAGTCTCAACATCAACAGTGAAGAGGCGACTCCGGGATGCTGACCTTCTAGGCAGAGTTGCAAAGAAAAAGCCATATCTCAGACTGGCTAATAAAAAGAAAAGATTAAGATGGGCAGTCTGAGCAAAGAAATCTCAACTACGCACCACATTTTATGCACTGCAGTGCTAGCTAGCTGTAGCTTATGCTTTTAGTACTAGATTCATTCTCTGATCCTTTGATTGGGTGGTCAACATGTCAGTTCATGCTGCAAGAGCTCTGATAGGTTGGAGGACGTCCTCCGGAAGTTGTCATAATTACTGTGTAAGTCTATGGAAGGGGGTGAGAACCATGAACCTCCTAGGTTTTGTATTGAAGTCAATGTACCCAGAGGAGGATGGAAGCTAGCTGTCCTCTGGCTACACCATGGTGCTACCCTACATAGTACTGTTGAGGCTACTGTAGACCTTCATTGCAAAATATAGTGTTTTAATCAATTATTTGATGATGTGATTATATTTAGTATAGTTTTATCTACAAAGGATAACTTTTTTTATGTTTACCATTTTTATTTTTATGAAATTCACTGAGGAGGATGGTCCTCCCCTTCCTCTTCTGAGGAGCCTCCACTGCCCCTCACATAATGTCCAAACACAAGTTCATTCGAACTGAAACCGAGAGACTCCTGAACAACCTCCTGTGCTGCAAATAGCACTAGAGGCACCCCTTCGTCCCAGTCTTTCTCGACCTCAAAGTAGTAAGCTCTCAACATAGACTGCAAAGTCTGATGAAATCTCTCAAGAGCGCCTTGTGACTCTGGGTGATATTCACTAGAGGGGCAATGGGTAACATCCAACTTCTGTAGCACTTGCTTGAAGATGTTTGACATTAAATTTGAACCTGCAGATATAAACGTTGAAAATAATTTCACAAGGGCCTTAACAATACTGGGAGCCATGATGTTTCTCAGTGGAATGGCCTCGGGGAAATGAGTGGCAGCACACGATGGTTAAGAGAAATTGGTTACTACTCTTTGCTTTGGACAAAGGTCCAACACAGTCCACCAGAACCCTGCTGAAAGGTTAGTCAAAAGCAGGTATAGGCTGCAAAGGTGCAACCGGCTCAGTTTGGTTCGGTTTACCAGTCAGCTGGCAAATGCGACAGGATTTACAGTAAACCACAACATCATGTTTCAGACCAGGCCAGAAGAAGTTACGCAGGATACAATCACACATCTTGTTGACCCCAAGATGGCCTGCCATACTTCCATCGTGAGCCAACCTCTGTATCTCTTGTTGGAGAATGCCATTTCCTCATCAGAACACCATCTGTCACGGAATCAGCCGAGGCTGCCCCTCCTCCTTTCTCGGGCAGGCTTCGGCGTTCGTCTTCCCCGGAGTACTAGCTGCCACCGATCTATGTTTCGGTGTTTGTCTAGTTTGTCCTGATTGTTTGCACCTGTTTCCCATTATGTTATATTGTATTCCCTTTATAAACCCCTGTCTCTCATTGGTTATTGTGTGTGATTGTTTTCCGTTAGGTCGGCAGTGCTGGTTGTATGCGTTATTTGTTCCTCCCTGTTTGGAGGTTTGTTTTGTCCTTTCTTTACTGTGTTAAGTAAAGTACGTTCTGCCAGTAGTTCGGTGTCCTGCGCTTGACTTCGTTTCCCGCATACACGTCACCTTGACACCATCTCTGTCAAAGTAACCGACGAGAACTTCATCAAACTCCTCCTCTGGACGTATCTTAGCAAAAAGAGGGGAGAGGGAA